GAGTTGGGGGCCAGAGCAATCCCAGGATGGGTGACCCACTGGGAAGTTGCTCGTGAGCTCCCAGAAACAAAACCGTGAGGGCAGAGATGGGGACCCAAAGCGGACAATATCGTGTTAGGGGAGTCGGGTCGTGACAGACTGTTTCAAACTATATAGTGCTGTTTGCAACTTGCACACCATACTAGTATGAGTAGATGTTGTATATCCCGATGGAACGCCCAAGTAAACTTATTTTGTGAGTTCACCCTGCAAGAAATCATTTTTTACATCAAACTGATGGAGTAGCCAATCCAGGTTAGCTGCAAGAGATAGTAGCACTCTAACTATGTTAAGCTTTGCTACGATGGCAAAAGTTTCTTCATAATCAATGTCATAGGTCTGTGTGTACCATTTTGCCACAAGTCTGGCCTTGTATTGTTCAATGGACCCATCAGCATTGTGTTTGACAGCAAACACCTATCTGCATCCAACTGTTCTTTTTCCTGGGGGTAATATCTCTAGTGTCCACGTCTGATTTTTCTCCAGAGCCTTCATTTCTTCCTTCATTGCTTGGGTCCACTTCGGATCTTTCAATGCTCCAGTCACCTTAGTAGGAATGGCAATAGCAGATAACTGACACACAAATGCCTTTAGTGGTTCAGAGGAAGTCTTTGAGTAGACACATTATTGGCAATTAGGTACTTTGACGTCTTCCTAATATCAGGAGAATACCAGTTTGGTGATTTTCCACGGTTCTGCTTGAAAGGTAATTGGTATCCAATATAATCATCAACTAAATTCACAGGACTTGTAGAGATATTTACCTCAAGGATATTCTTAGGAGATTGGTTGTCTGGTACTGTTGAATGAGAGTGGGGTATTCAGTGTGTTCAGGTTCATCTTATTTCTCAAGATCGCCTATCTGATTCCATGTTAAAATATGAAATCCTATGAGAGAATATTGTTTGTGGGAATTTTGTGTATTCTTCTCTTTGTAGGAGATCATATTTATAATACAATAAATCCTTATCGGTCAAGGAAAGTAATAACTCATAATTCTATTTATAATAGGAAATCATGAATTGTAAATCAATTACATTTAATATAGGAATCCTTGATATGTAAGGAAAGTAAATGGGAGTACACAAGTGCCAACATATACCTCCCATGCTAAGTAGCAAAACCAAACTTGTGAGTGTTCATTGTCAAATTTGAATTATTGAAGGACTTCTCTAGAGCATTAATGGTAGGAATATCCATTTGGGATAAAGTTAGGGTGTGGAGAAACAAGCCAATAGAAGTAGAACCATGGTGGTCCTTTTTTCTTTTGCAAACTTATCTATGGACCCCGCAATCGTTTTTTGTATTGTTCCCTCAGGCTTTTACACACTGGTTGCAAGCCCATACCTCATGGACTCTTCTTCACTGTTCATTTTGTCTCTCCCTCCCTCGTCCATTATCTTTTACACAATTTTCCCTCTTATGAGATTTTTTATTTATTTATAAAATAAAAATAAAAATAAAAATTTATAAATCCGCTCAAGAAAAAACGACCCTCCTTGGCGGCCCTTCATGAATTGATTAAAAAGTGACCCCATATGTATGTGTATGTATGGATGTTAACTGAATATTATGTATCAGGTGAAGCAGCAGAGTTCAGATACCTAACGTTTACTATCCAAGTTCTCAACTATACTATGTATATCCAAAAGCTCTCATAAATTTATAATGCTACAGATTCAGGACCACACCACGACCACCTAATAAAGGAACTTGCATTGCATTTTCATGGTTCAAAAAAACAAAAAAGATTTTGACAGACGGCCCTGATTATTCCTTTGACTGACGTGGTTCACTGTAGGCCGTCCAACAAAGGAGAGCGTGTGGCTGAGTTGCATCCCTCACATGCATGCAATGCAGAGCCACCAATAGGAAGAGAGAGAGAGAGAGAGAGAGAGAGTAGGGTCTGTGTGGGCCCCAGTTTGCTGACAAAGTTGATCTTGATACACCACCAACAGAAAATGGAAGTTAATCTCCCCCCATCTATCTATAGGAAAAAGGAGACAATGAAAGTTTCATTGCACCTCAAAAATGAACTGAGTTGGAAGAAAACGTAACAAATTTGGTTTTGGTTTTAACACAACCTTTCTCACTCTACTTAATTTACTCTAATGTATTTCAACTCTTCTCTCTCTCTCTGTCTGTCTGTCTGTCTCTCTCTCTCTCTCTCTCTCTCTGTCTCTGTGCAAGTGGCAAAGGTATGTGTTTGCTTGCCCCACTTAAGACTCTTCAACTGAATTCCATAGCTTATTGCATACACTTTCTCTTTCTGGGCATCTTCAGGTATGGCTTTTTTGGGCACATATATATTTATATATATGTGCACCTTTCAATTTAATTGAAATAAACTTTTGGGTTTTTGGTAATGCAAGTTTCTGAGATTTTCTTCTTCCAGTTCTCCCACAATTCACTCTAAATTTGTCACTGACAAGTTGCATAATCCCGCTTCTTGTATTATGCTCATTATATATAGTTCTCTATTTAAAGCTAAAACACTCTTTCAGCTGGGTTTTCTGACTTTTCTTTTCCTCTTTCCAGGTATGGAAAGAATGTGTGATGTCCCCTGTATCTGAGGCAGTTGTCTTTTAGAAGCTAAGAAGAGAGAGTGAAGGAGTTTTGAGCTTTAATTTATAATGCCAGTTCCACTTGCCCCATATCCAACTCCTCCAGCACCATACACGCCACCTGCAAATGGTATCATCACTCAAAATCTGTCCTTATCTTATTTGGCTTGAAAACAATGTGAATTTTCTCTCTATTTTTCCTGCTGAGAAAATTGCTGAGAAAATGAGGGATTGGTTGAGAATTCTTGTCATTGTCCAACATTGATGTCACAAATGTCACAGGATTTTAGTTTTAATTTTCTTTTCCTCCCTTCTCCTCTGTTTCTTCTTCTTCTTCTTCTTCTTTTGTTCCTCTAAAGACAAATAAAGTTATCTTACAAAAATTACTCTCTGATTATGATTGTATGAAAAATATAATCTGCTACTTTATTGTTATGAAATTATTCATTTATAATCCATCAATCTAAATCAATAATTTATTAAATTTTGTAACTTGTTCTTTAGGTGCACAGAGCCAACTTGTGTGCTCTGGATGTAGGAACCTTTTACTCTATCCGGTTGGAGCCACCTCTGTCTGTTGTGCAGTTTGTAATGCAGTCACTGCTGTGCCACCTCCTGGTATGTTCTTTTCTTGCTACACATACCCTTAGCTTATGTTAATACAGCTTGATTATGCTGTCATTTAGTTCTTGAAATCGATCTAATTTTCGACTGTAAGACTCCGTAAAGTCTGCATGTGTTACATTTTTGTGTAACTCTGAGCAGGCACAGAAATGGCACAGCTGGTTTGTGGAGGATGCCACACCCTACTCATGTATATCCGCGGAGCAACGAGTGTACAATGTTCTTGCTGTCACACTGTAAATCTAGCCTTGGAAGGTATCAAATCATTGACAGATAAAAAGCTTTATGATATGTGTTTTTGTGACAGCAATTAAGCTTCTTAAAAGATAACCGAAATCAATTAAGTTTGGACATATGAATCAAATGTGCATTTGTGACAGCAAATCAGGTGGCGCATGTCAATTGTGGGAACTGCAGGATGCTGTTAATGTATCAATATGGAGCAAGATCTGTGAAATGTGCGGTTTGCAATTTTGTCACATCAGTTGGGGTGAGCACATTATTCATTTTAACTCAGTGGATGTTAGCTGAAGCCTTGAGTTTCTGTTGTGTTGCTTTATGCATCAATTCAAGTATGTTCAAAATGAGATAAAAGTAATTTGGACAGAAGTTCAGGGCTTCCGTTGCAACACCAATTATTTCACGTTCTTTTCGATTAAACACCTTCTGATACCATAAAAATTGCGTCCTTGTTTCGATCCTAGCTTCCTTCTGAATTTATACAAGTTACTGCATAGTGCATTACATTGATAGAAAGTTTAGAGACTATTTGGCATTCCTCTTTGGTTAATGTGATGTTCATTGGCATTTTCAGGTGTCGACGAGCACTCCCGAACAGAAATTCAGCAACTAAAAATTATCATACACCACATAAAGCTGGCTATTACAATGCTACAACCTTGGTTTTGCATCTCATAGTAGTTTTCCTCCAAGATTGCATCTCTCAGTGAGAACAGAATGTCCTGCTTCTCACATGTATAGAGTTATTTTTTTATTTTCTTTCTTGCGTGATCCTTGTATGAATAAGTAGTTATGTCAAGATTGGATGTATGAGAATATTGAACAAGAGAAGAGAGACTACTAGAATTTGAGTGAATTTGGAAGTCTTTGGATAAGATTTACTTAATTTTCCTTAGCTTTGACATGATAAACTTTTATCTCAAACTCCTTTCTGGTTTTGAATTGTCAATTCTCATCTAGAAATATAATTGCTTACCAGTCAATGAAGATGCCCCAAAATTTGATCCAAGAAAGTTCCACTTGGGACCAACAGATATTTCAAGAGTAAATTTGAGGTGAGCATTCATCAATTTAGGTATGGCTTTTAATGTATGATTTTGACTTCCAAGTTCCCACAATAAGATTTGTTAGATTGACCAACCTATTAAATAGGACACGAGTGCTTGTTGAATCAGTTTTGGATAAACTTATGCTACAAAACAATGTGTTTTGTTATTTATAATTTTTTATACCAGCGATAGTTTAAATTACTCTAAATTAATCTAATCTAAGGAGAGGTAGATTAGAACTTGACTTGAGTACAAAGGACCTAACTCACTGCCCTAACCAATTGACCTAACCGACATTTAAACCATGTATTCAATAATGGTTAACCTGAATGTGACTTCGCATTTAATGCAAACAGAATCCAATGGCTGTAACAAATCTAATCTGTACAACTTAGGTTGGACTAATCTAATATATGTAGGGTTTGGTGAGCCCCCACTGTCCTTGTGTTTGGCTTGACTTGAGTACCTGAATTGTGTGAGTATTTTGTGTCTGGAAATAATCCGAAAATCTGAGTTTGAGCTCGTGAGATCCTGCAAGCAAACATATGGTGGGGAAGCTCAAGGCGTTACAAAATTCAATTACAGATTATGACCAGCTTCTGTGCTGTCCCCCACTGCTGCGCTTTTCCCCATCACGTCCTGCTCATTTGATGCAACTTTTTGTGTACTATTTATAAAGTAAGCAACAGTGAACCTTCTACTTCTATCACAATAATAATGCAATCAACCTTCTACTTCTATCACAATAATAATGCATGATTGCATTAGAGTATGGAAAGCTGTTTCCATTTCTATTTATAAAGTAAGCACCAGTGAACCTTCAACATCATCCGTCATTCTAAACTTTACATCATGAAAAACTTCGGATCCACTCATTACCAACTAATGTTGGATATAATATAGTGTTTCGAAGCCTAATTGTAACGTTGTGCAATTTTCAATACCAGATGAAATCGGCGCATTGGGCTCTAATGATGGAGAGAGATCCGCGTAAGGCGAAGAATGAGTCTATAGTTGCTGACTCAAATCGGCGTATTGAATGTTCAAACTTAAAGACGTTAGTTGAAATTGACCACACGTGAAAATGCATGATAAGAACATGATAAATCCTACATGAAACGTTTTGTATTTCATCTTAAAGTGAGAATCTTGGAACCTCCCCAATAACCTTTGGGAAGAATGTTCAAACTTCAAAAAATTGCATCCCACGTAGTTGTAAAAAGGTCCAAAATTTAACCCTAATTGATTTTGTTTTTCAAGCACTGGTTCTAAAATATCTTTCTAAGCTCTTCCCTCCTTTATGTGTGTCGGTGTCACATGTGAAAGACAAGGAAGGCCACTTTTAACCATTGTTACTGACATTAACTGCAGCTGTCAATTTATGTTGGTTGTTTTGCTTAGGTGATTCCAAACAAACAAGTTAGAGCTTTTTTATCCTGTCTATTCAAAATAAAAGGATTTTTTATTTGATTTGATTTGATTTATTTATTTATTGTAAATTTTAAATATATTTTTTTTGGTTGGCAATCTTGAAACATTGGTAAACAAGGAATTATATAGTTAACGTGTATGCTTAAGAAACACCAAATCAAATTTGGAAGTTAATCTTTGTGTGGATAAGCTATTAGAGACTTGTAGCGGACCCAATTTTCAGCCATTGCTTCTATTCCAAAACGCTAAAATTTGATTCCTTTTGCTTTTATCGCAAGTCATTTTCAGAAGTGCTTTTCAAAAGCGTACTACCAAAGTGGCTCATTCCATGTGTATGCTGACTGCTTTGTTGATACCATATACCATCAATGGACAACAAGATATCATATGGACTAAAAGCGTAGTAATCAATTGGTCCCTGGACCCAATTGTGTAGCTGCACTCATGGTTCATTATGAATGTGTCCACTGTCTATATCACTGGCCAGGCCTAAGTCTTGGCTCACTAAAAGCATGCATTGTAGCCAGAAAAACAATAATGCTAGAGTAATAAGTCTTACTTGTGGGCATGTTCGGATCCCTATACATCAACGGTCCAGTAGAGTTGCTATACTCTGATTCTTAGTTATTTTGGCTAACAATAACTCTACGGGCACCACCTTGTTTACCAACTTTAGTGATACCAACTTACGTGGCAAATGACATAGTATTACCACGTCATCTTTTCTTAATTATTTAATCCAAAAAATAAATAAACATTTATAAAAAAATTTAAAAATAAATCTGATGTACCCTCCCATCATCCTGAGATCTGCCATGGCCTCTGTTCTTCCACAAATATGTCATGGTTTCCGTCTAATCAAAGTAAAAAAAAAAAAAAAAA